TTCGCGAGGAAATCGTAGGAGTACCAAAAATTGCCATTGAGAATGTCCAGCCAGGTTCTGCCGCATGCAATTTGACATGTCCCAGCAAAGGAAAAATAGTATTTGTACATATATATATATATATGGAGAGATAATATCCGCCGACCCCGGCCTATAGCCAAAGCCTGGGCGGGGAGGCGCCTGGGACACCGCAGGGTGAAGCAGTTGGCCAAGCCTAGCAGAACCCTTCAAGCACTTCCAAAGGCGTAGGATGCAGCAGTTGGCCAATCCTAGCAGAACCCTTCCAAGCACTTCCAAAGGCCTGTCCGAGGCCTCACCAGCTGGCCGGCCTGTTGCGGCCTCTCTGTGGCCTGTCCGAAGCCTGCCTCCTCTCTTCTTATGGGCTAAGGCAACGTGAGGCATTTTGGGCCGGCTTCAAAAGCCTCTCGGCAGCCGGCAGGCCTCTTGCGGCCTCTCTGTGGCCTGTCCGAAGCCTGCCTCCTCTCTTCTTATGGGCTTCCGAAGGCAACGTTAGGCATTTTGGACCGGCTTCAAAAGCCTCTCGGCAGCCGGCAGGCCTCTTGCGGCCTCTCTGTGGCCTGTCCGAAGCCTGCCTCCTCTTCTTATGGGCTTCCGAAGGCAACGTTAGGCATTTTGGCTCGGCTTCAAACGCTCCCCAGAGCCTCACCGCAGCCTTGCCCTCTTCTCGGCAGCTGGTTGAATGCCAGCATTGGTGTGAAGCCCATCCAAGTCTCGCTGTTGAATCCCAGGAAGTTGTCAAGGTTCAACCGCCAAACCCTCGAGATGAAAAGGGGTCGGCGGCACCCGGGCGGAGCCCTTACAATAATATTATAATATATATATATATATATATTCATTCTCTGCTGCAAAAAGTGTGAACGAAGTGAAAGTAGCAATGCGGGACACAGCTTGGCACTACACTTTGCACAGTGCAAATCTGGGGCCCCAGTCTTCATGAAGACCTGTGAATTCGCTGCTGTCTGATCAACGCTGACTCCGGCTGCGGTAGAAGGGATGAGTTTGGTCCTCAGGCACTTCTGCCCATGCGCACATGGGGTTTGGGCGAATGGCATGAGGTGCAGTGCTTATGTGGACATCGCAGTGACAAGAAGACATGAAGGCATAGCGAGAGTCATATATCCATCAATATTAATGCTCTGATCACTGTACACATCATACCTCGGCAAGACAAAGGACAAAAGAAAGCAAGCCTCATAATGTCCCTGGTGCATGGTGCCTCCTCGCTCCCCAAAATGTTCTTTTGGATGATTCTGTTCCAAGCTGCCCGTTGCAGCCAAAAATTCCAGTGCCACTCTGACGCTGCATAAACATTGCATCCTGAGAAGGACGTCAAAATACAGTCAAGTTCATGCGCTTCTCAGGCAGTGCTGTGCAACGAGGGTCCATTTCTTCACCGCCGCGGGCCACTGAGAAGCAGTAGATTCTTGGAGCTGCCGCTGATGGTACTGTCGGGACTGGATATTCGCCCTTAGCGCAATTCCGGCATGCATGAACTTCTCGTCTGTATCTTCAAATGAGCAAAGGCACAAAGTCCACTGCAAAAATGGGACATGACACAATGTTCAACACCAATTTTGACACGTTGTATATGTTTCCAGGAGCCTCAAAACCTTAGGCTCAATGTTTAACAGTTTTTTGGACCTCCTGCCGTCAACTTTGCAGCACTTTCCACCGTTCCACCTGGCAATTGCAATGCTTTGGCTTTTGTTGCATGTCGGGCCAGCATTGGCTTTCCTTGTTTGCCTTTGGGTTGCTTGCTTGGTTGCTGGCGCTTGGCTTTGAGTGGCTTGGCTTTGTCAGAGCTGGACAGGGTTGGGGGAAAGGCGCAGCACCAGTGATTCAGTGATTCCGTTGGTCCGTCTGTCCGTCCGTTCTTCTTTCCTTTTTTCCTTCTTTCTGGCTTGCAATTGGCTTGCTTGCGGGCTGGCTGGCTTGCTTCCTTTTGCTTCACTTGCTGGTGGTGGTCCAACAAGCAAAACACACACAGCAGAAACACAACAGGCAGAAAAGCGAAGCAAGGAGAAAGAGCAAGCAATGCAAGAAAACAACTATGCAAACAAAAACTGTGACACAGAGACTTAAAAATCAAACAAAAAAACAACCGCAACATATCACAAAAACCAGGAAGCAACTAAGCAGAAGCAGCGAACCACAAGTGCTTCTGAAAAAATAAGATTAATAACACCATGAAAATGAATACAAAAATAACTAGAAAGCACACATCGAACAAAGAGTGGACATTCAGTTCAGTGGGACCTGCTTGGTGAAAGAGGGAAGACATCTCCGTGGCATTGAAATGACGAAGATATGATGCAATAAGTCCCTGGTTGCACCAAACATTGGTTGATGCACCGATAGTAAATCTCTTGGCCTAGCTGCTGGGCAGGGGCGTTGGCATCCCGCTTGCCTCAGCTTCAGCTCCAACAATTCAAATCCACTCAGACGACAGAACTGCAGATCGCTTTTCTCATGATTTGTTTAGCCTTAGATTATTCTGCATTATGTTACGTTGTTTTTGTGTTTTATTCGGAAAGGGTACAGTATGCTTTTTCCGATCGGCAGCCATGAAAGCTAGAACAGCTCGAGCATCACGGGTGTGGTCTATGTTCAACAGATTCACAGCCGACTGCCGCTAGGAAGCTTGTTTTGCCAGAGCCATTCTTGAACCGTATGGCGATTGGCCTGCCTGCGCAATGTCTAAAGGACACACGAGAATGAACGAGTGATTACGATGATTGAAAGTTGACGCCGTCATATCAGTTACATTGCTCTTGCAACTCTTGACCCCTTGAACTTGAAAGTTACATCCTTGTGATGTTGTACTTGGCCGGTTGTTCGATCAGCCCGATCCACTTGTGCCAAAGCACCTGGGCGACAAGCAGGAAAAGTGACTGTCAGTGCTTTATGATGGTTTTGAGAAGAAGAAGAAGAAGAAAAGACCCCTTTGACAAGGCCAAGGCCCCCTTGAATGGGGCCGAAAGAAGCTGGCCCTTCCCTTCTTTTTCATGCCACCATGCCACCATGCCATCACAACTCAAGTCAAGGAACAGCACCGTAGCAAGAATCTCCCGGGACTGCTGTGTGACAGGCTTCTGCAGCCTCAGGGAAGCAAACAAATGGGAAGAAACAAAAATAAATCGTTTGCGAAAGTAAAGACCAAAAAGGCCGGGCCACTTGACACAAGGAGTTTGCGTTCCACCAGCACCAATGAGTTAACACACTAGAACATTAACATGTGAACCTGAATCAGCAGCAAGCTCAATACCAAAAAAAGACTTCTAAGAAACATTGAGTGGTGCGAACTCTTCTTTCATCGTTGGGATCTGTGTCCGATCCTCAGATGGTGCAGAATCCACGTCATTGTGGTGAAAATTGCCAACATATACTCCCAAGTCAGTCATTTCGCTGAGTTTCTCTGAAGAGACAAAAGAATAGTGCAAGTCCCAAAAGCAGCAAACCCGTCACCTGGCTCGACTCACTCGCTCGCATGAATATCTATCGCTGCGGGGCTCGCCACGCCATAAAGCGGAACAGTGAGTCCTAATCCAGGCACCTGAACAATTCTCTTGGTGCTGTGAGAGATCGCCTGCCAAATGCGAGAAAATCCGAGAATCACGCAGGCAAGCGCTCAAAAGAGTTGAACTAGAGTGAGAGGGCACCCGGCTTTGACAAACACCTAGCCAACAAACAGCACGTAACAGCATAGCCGCGGCCACAACTCCAGGGCGGGTGCACGGGTGCACAACGTGTGACGAGGCCAACAAGTCAGAGAATGAGTTTTGTGAACGTTGTTACAGCAAAGACTGTTACGGCTCACGCTGGCACAGGCAAAGCATAACAGCCACTGCCATGAAAGAAGAAAAGGAAAAGTGAAATAAAATCGGAACCAAATGCAAAAAGAAAGAAGAACTAAATGACAGGGTGGCCCGAAAGCACACCAGGAGGGAGAGAGGCATTGAAAGAATGCCTAGCATGAACGAAGCAACAAGGCACATGTTGGTACACTACAATGTAATCATGAAAAAGACAGAAAAGAAAGAATAAGAAAATAAAGTCTAAAGGCATCTAAAAAGGTAAAGAAAGGTCCAAACATATTTACAAAGACAAGAAAGAATGGTCTAGAGATGTTTTCTAAACTAAGTGTTAAGTTACCCTGAAATAGTTCGAGCACTTCTTCATGGAAGCTGCCTCCACCCTGAGGCGGGGGGAGCTTCATTGAAGATGCGTGAGCTTTCCTGCGTCCTAGTAGCTTCCTAGCTACTTACCTCACCTCTCTTACTACTCACAACTTAAGTCTACTGTCAGCCTACCTGCCCCCAAAAAAAAGGTCCTTTGATTTGTCTTTCTCTAGAAAAAGAACGAAATCACTTGAGACCGCCGTTTCCTCGGCCAGGAGTGCGTGTTTCGCTCGTGCACCACGTGCATATCCGCCATGTGAAACTTCAAAGTTAAATTCTCCGGCCGGCTCCTGGCAAGAAACGAAAGCTTATATACAACCAGGAAACCACGAAACGAACCAAGGGATCTACCAAAAACAGCTGTGCACAAGTGGTGACCAAAGCATCCATTTAATCTATATTGAGAGGGCAAAAGGCTATTCTGTGTCCTGGACATGCTGCAAGCGCAGGTCATCAATAGTCTCCCCTTTGCATCGAGCATTTGCACGAAAGAATGCAAATACAAGGGCAATGTTCACGCGAAAACTCGCTTTTTTGAGCTCTCTTGAGCTCTCTTCCTGCCGAGCTGCCATCCACATCGGCCACAATTGGAGTCTCCAAGTCGGCTTCGTCGCAGCTCATGTCGAAGCTCTGCAAATGCAGGAACGAGGCCTATAATTTAGCTTGAGCCCTGAGATGTTTCTCGGGATGCGAGGTGAGTCCAGCTCAAGTGACTCAGTGCTTGGTGTGATGTAAGAATCACTTATTTCAAGGATCTTCAAGGACTGGTGCTGCTTTCTATGAATGTTCAGTTTCCTTTTGACTCAGCAACAGGCTTTCCTCTGGTATAGTTTGACTCATATTATGTACATCTTTCGTTAACTGGAGCAAGCTAGCTCAGCTAGGGCCATGTACTGCTCATAGCACTGCTATGTAGAAAAGACTCCTTTGGCCGACATCAACTCATGGACCGCAGGCAGCGCTGCTGGGACTCGGCGGGCCGTCTTGTCTTGACCGGCCGTCTGGACAGGAGTCGGAGGTCGCATAGGTCACGGTAGGTCGTAAGTGCTTCGTCGGAAGTCCTTCGGTCGTTGGCACAAGCGTTTGTAAGTTCGGTCAAAACTGACAGCCTGACAGCCTTCATGTGACCCCTTTCAATTTAGGGAGTTTCTTTGAGTGGCCTTCACTTTCTATGGTTATCCATGTCTGACCTGGCATAAATTTTCAGTGTTCATAGCAAGTCCTTGAAGTCAGCGCTGCTCATCTCTTCCACAAAACTAAAGCTCAAGAGCCTCTTTCCCAGCGATTCTCTCTCTTTCGAAAGAAATCACAAAGATCCAAAGGCAGCTTGGCCTGCCAATCTCGATCCATCTTGACTGGTTTGAAACAGAAGGGGCGTGTGAGAGGAATGTTGTGCACGAAGCCTTCACGTGATGTTTAGGCAACCAGCTTAAAGAGAAAAAACTTCAAAACCAAACTCTCTTCCCAACAGATCAAGAGATCCTCTACTTCTTGCAACCGTGTTTAACTCATTTTATGCCGCGTGCGTACGCAGGGCTGCGCACGGCTGCGCACCTGCCATCCAGGAATAGATCTGAGAGGCAAGACCCAAATGTTGCGCCATGCCGGGAGTGACTCCAGGCATTTGCCAACTGGAAACCATTCGATGTGTGTTTGAATTCGACTGCAATCGAAGAATTCCATCATCCTTTTGAAATCTGTGACAAGGTAAAGTAACATATCGCAATATGGCAGAATGTTGGCAGTGCTAAGAAAGCGACTTGTGATTTTGGACTGAAGGATGTGCAGCATGCCTCTGAATTTACGTGTTCCCACAAGAAAAGCACGCGTTAAAAAGGACTTGATTAAAAGCTGAAAGCGTTGTGCAAAGCGTCAGCACACATAATAAGAGATTCTCTTGTGCCTCGCGGCATTCAAGACACCGTGCAAAGCTGCCAGCTGTTGGACTTGCAGTCTGAACGCTTGCTGTTGGATCTGTGCCGCTTGGGCTACTTGTGCTGCGTGGGCTGCTTGGGCAGATTGGAGTAGCGTTAGCTGATCAACGTTGGTCGCGTCATGCGGAACCAGCAACGGCGGTACTTGCGCCCCTGCATGCTCAAGGCCAGGACCACTAGCATCAGGTGGAGACTCCTGAAATCTGACACGTTCAACCAAGAACCAACAAAGAGTATCCACAAGCAAGTATGTAAGAATATGTAAGAAAGACTTTCAAATCATTTTGATGGATCATTCCAAGATTTCCAAGAAACCTGCTTTGGCTCCTGAGCATATGACTCCAGCACCCTGGTAAGCTGCTGCTCACGCTGTGCTTGCAGTCGCTCCTCGAAGCCAAAGCACCACTAGGTCACTAGAACTGTGGGTCAATAGGTGCTGGTGGAACACCTCAGAACCTACCAGCAATGGCCTTGAACCTACTAGCGATGGCCTCAAACCTACTTGCGATGGCCTCCAACCTGCTAGCGATGGCCTCCAACCTACTAGCGATGGCCTCAAACCTACCAGCAATGGCCTCGAACCTACTAGCGATGGCCTCCAACCTGCTAGCGATGGCCTCCAACCT